TTCGTGACATTTTGTTACGAGAGTTATACTTCACCTACTTGGTCACTTATTTTGGGACAATTATATCATATTGAGATTGAGAAATAAGAATATTATATGGGAAGTAGTGAATGATAAACTCCAATAATGAAGTAACATGTAAAAGGGAAGAAGGCATACAACTATACAAGTTGTTGAGACTTTGTAAAATTGGTTTCATACAGATTTTTTCTTCTGTGAACGAACAAACTTCTGACCACTCAATCAAAACCCCCTTTTCAAGAACAAATATTATTGACTTAAGAATAGGGCGGTGTGTAATCTTTAGAAAAAAAAAAAAAAATTTAAGAGTTGTCTTATCACTGTGCAGGCTGGTCCAGCCTTTTGGAATAATATAATACTGTTCTAGAAACTAATTAAGGGGACTAAAAATCTGTATGATATACCATCATTTCTGTAGCCAAAATTTTGGCTCCATGCAAAATATCCGCCATAGATTTAGTTTGGGCATCATATCTCTGCAACAAAATGATTGCCTAATTAAGCTAGCTAGCTTGCCACATCAAAATATAATAATGATCCTCTCCCAATATAATAATTATCTTTTTTTTTTTTCCAAATATAATAATGATCTTGATTAGAAGAGATGAAGACGATAACTTTATCTCAAAATGTATAGACAGGACCTGAGTGAGAACTAGCTAGGAAACTTACTGTACAACTCAAAATTTATTTTTTCTAATCGTTCTTAAACATATCAGAAGTTCTTGGAGTTTAGAATTATTCTAACATAAGTTAAAATATTTAATGTATTAAAAAAAAAAAAAGAATGACCTATCACTACCTACCTATGATGTGTGATTGTCTCCGATTGACGGCCACAACTCCATCACATGTTAGATTACTGATGCGTAAATTTGATTTTTGCAACATATATATTGATATGATGAAGTTTAATTTGAAAATGAAAATTCATAACAAGTTTAAATTTGGATCATAAATATTTTTAGTGGGATTTGAACACTTAACTTGATATTCATTACGTATAATACAAACAAATTAGAAAACTACATCGAGGATATAATACATGACCAAATTAAATTGCAAAACCTTACTAATTCTAGAAACCCACTAATCAACAAAGAAAGGACTTACAAAACCTAATTCAAAGTTGGTATGCCATAATACATGTATCTGAACAATATTATTGTTAATAAGATCGAATTAACATTATCTTTTTACAAAACGTAAACATCATCCATATGGTATACACAGTCCACTTCCACATCTATTTTTGTATTTATAATAGAAGGGAGTTTTGTGAACTCATTTTGACAGAGAACTAGAAGTGATTTAATTGGATAAAAGTAAAAATAAAATTTAAATGTGTGAGGAAAAGTCAACTCATTCTCCATCAAAGTTTGACCATTAAGGCTCTGGACTGAGGCAAAGTGGCATGGGTAATTTAATTTAACTTGCCTGGTCAACCGTACCGCGGGTAGTTTGCAAATTTTCAACCATCATACATAATTACACATGTATATGTGCAGTCCAAGGATTAAAAAAAAAAGTATATAAAGAATTAAAATTTAAATTTTCTCACCCATTCAAAACTCTCTAATTTTTAAGGACAAATATTGACCGAAAAATTAGAAATTTTAAATTTTGAGATAGAGGTTCACATACTGTACGTAACAACGCCGAACTAGTCATTGTGCACCAAAACACCACATCCAGGAGGGGAGAATCAAAAGCCATTCATCCCTTGCTGCCATTAGCAGCCCAAAAAAAAAAAGCAAAAAATCATGATTGAGCTGAATATGATTGAGAAAATATAGAAAAGATATTACATTGTAAAAAAGTTATGAGTGTTTTAAAAAATATTTATTAATAATATAAGAAGAGATTAAATTAGGAGAGAAAAAATAGTACGTATTATTCATTTACAACATATCAAAATCGTGCATATTTGGATTCCCAATAGTGTGTAACTCCCTGGCACCACGCTGATGTTTAGCAAAAAAAATTTTAATAATGTTACTTTTTTTCTCATGATATTTTCTTTAATGATACAATAATTTTTTTATTCAACTATTGTGAATTGGTTGATTCAGCCATCATTAAAAAATTTACTTATTAATTAAATATAAAAAGAATAAATAAAAAATTTTCACCTAAAAATGTAAAAATTAGGTGATAAAATCAATAGAAGAATATAGCACGGCATGTCGGCATGTATTACTTTTTAAAATAATTTACAGTAATAATAAACATTCAAGTACATCCATATTCTAAAATGTTTTCAGCCATTGATTACGAAGATGTATTTACTCCAATCCATAGATTATTATCATCTGATCTGCAAAAAAAAAAAAAAAGTACATGAAAGGAGCCATCCATTATATATGTTGCCTAAGAGAAAATTTCAATTTTGGTCCACTAACTATTGGGGTTGTGTTAATTGCAACACTTGACTTTCAAAAACGTTAATTTAGTACCTTGACTATGCAATTTTTATCAATTTTGGTCACTCCGGCCAAATTACCGGCCAAATCTCATCAGAAAATTTTAATAGGTCAAATAATGAGGATTTTTTTGGTCATTTTACATTTTTCCTTTCTTCCCCGGCGAGCAACTCCATTTCCGGCGACTTCTTCTTGAATCTATTCGGTGGTTTGCTTATCATTCTTATGCATCTCCATTGGTGGTTTGCTTATCATTCTTCCTTGTTTTATAAATAGGCCTTTGGGTACTGTATAGTATATTGCAAAAGTGGAATCTCTTTCCTGGGCGGTTGAAAATCTCTATTCAAGGGTCGCTAATTGTTCCAATCAGAGGTATATACCTTCACTGCACTTTTTTCTGTGTTCCTTGTATTTATATGGATGAACTCTGATTCTACCATGGAATTTTGGGCGGGGAGAGATCTGAAGTTTTGCACTTGTTGGGTTTTAAGTTATCTTGATTCCAGTTCTCACCCCTAGTTGATATTTGGGTCTCTTTCTTCTTAGTTGTAGAAGATTGGTGTTGGGGGTATTGATATGACAGTTTATGGCTTTGCAACTGTTTTTCATCCCGCCGGAAATGGAGTTGCTCGCCGGGGAAGAAAGGAAAAATGTAAAATGACCAAAAAATCCTCATTATTTGACCTATTAAAAATTTCTGATGAGATTTGGCCGGCAATTTGGTCGGAGCGACCAAAATTGATAGAAATTGCATTGTCAAGGTACTAAATTAACGTTTTTGAAAGTCAAGTGTTACAATTAACACAACCCCAATAGACAGTGGACCAAAATTGAAATTTTCTCTGTTGCCTAATTAGGCTTGCCATATAAAGTGACTACTCACGTGCGATTTGTGGTTGTCCCCAATCCACACCCATTCATCCCACATCAAGCTATTACCTCATAAGTTTTGTTATTTGATGTGTGATATGATATGATGTGTCTATCCATTTCTGCAATATATCGAGTTTGAAAATGAAAACTCATTAGTTGCCACCACACCTAAATAAAACTATTTAAAACGAGGAAGTTAAATTGTAAAATTTTATCCATTATATTGTAGTATCTGTACATATATACTCTAATAACGCCTCCACAGAGGCTCGAACTCACAACCTTCTAAATAGAAGTCCAACCCAGATACCATTGGACCACATAGTCCTGGTATAAACACATACAATTTAATTGAACTAAAGAACAAATATATACAAAATTCTCCAGTAAAATTGAGTTTTAAAATAGTGGATGTCGTCAAGTAGCTTGTAGTTCAATGACATTTTTGTAACTTTTTTGAATGAGAAGTCACAAATTCGACAGTGAGATACTGAAAAAAAAAAAAAATAGTGGATGCCAAATTGTACGTAGTACTTCATAGCACCGCTCGGCTCTCGATTGTACATGGCAGTGGTCCTAGTGGAGTAGTGGTCCTTAGCCTCCTTATTTACGATTATTATATTGCATATAAAGATTTGTGATCTGCACTTGCCGTAATGTAATTGCTTTCACCTCCCATTTTTGAATTCTTACTAATTGAGCTCTAGCTCTAGTCCAATCCGGTCTTATCTAAGAGTTTGTTTTTATAATGAGAGTTGTGTATATATATTTGGAATTTTCAGCATAAATTGACTATTTTGTGGTATAAACATATATGAGGTTCACTTTCCATTTGAATTTGGTTAAAGTGGATTCAGGTCTTTGTAGTGAGACGAAGATCGACATGTGAAGTAGTCTAGATGGATCTATTGATGGCGATGTTTTGAAAGAACAAATGACCCTCATATGGGTGTATGAATGCCAAAAATCCACAAGAAACAAGTGGTCAAAATGCATTATCCGTCCATAACCATACATGTCAGGTATCATACCTCATAAAAGAATTGACAACTACCTCAAAAGTACGGACAGTCTTCTCGCCACCCCCACCCCCAATAGGACTACCAAGTAGCTAGCCCCAGCCCTATTGGCCAATGTGGGGTAGTGTGCTTCCTATAGGGCATTGCCGTCTCATCCACTTCGCCACTTAGGCAAGTAGCTTAAGCAGGGTGTCCAACCCCTCCCCCTCGGCCCCTCTTCTAGCCTTTGTAGTTTAATTTGTATTCTGCCTCCACATTTTGTGAGTTTATGTTTTTCAGACCTTGATATCATACCCTCTATGCCATTAAGCCATTAATTGTGTTGTGTAAAATCGCATTCATACATACATGTTCAAAAATTCATCTAAGCTAGAATTTACTACAATCCATGCATGCAGCCAATAATAATTAATAAGACGATGGAGTTGCCGGCCGGGCCTCCCTTTAATTTGCTTGAATCTGATCTGCAACTTCTGCATGCGCCACTGTTCACTTGCTTTGACAGCCGGGAATTCCATTTCTAGCCAATGAATCCTTACATACCCCTCTGCAACATCAATATAATACCCAATTTTCTTGGATACTCACCATATATAACCACAACATCTATCAAACCTGCAGAAATGCTAAGGACATCACGCTGCAGCATTAAATGTGAAGCCCCACATCATATCGTCACTCTCAGATCACCTTACTTATAGTATATAAATTGAACCACAACACCTCTCATCTGCTACCTATTCCGATCCACTACAAGCTTATCTACGAACTTCATGTAATTTTAATCCTTGTTTTTAACAATGTGAACATCTATCTGATCTTGACGATAATAAGTTGGGTTTTTTTTTTTTTTTTTTTCTGATGTTTGCATTGGCGTGAAAAAAATATCATGTAGTCTGCAGCATATGGAGATGAGAAGACAGGTTGATGGAATCAATGGTGGTGCTAGTGCTGCGGTTTATCCACACAAGGCTGATAAGTTGGAGATAAACACAGCTCTACCGATTGATGAAGATGAAAAGGATGATGATGATTCTTGTGGTTGGAACAGGATTGTTCAGATTGAGCCTACAATGTCTATACACCTCAAGGTGATCCAACTCACTTCTCTGCCATTCTTTTAAAACTGTTTGGAGTGAATGATTTACGTACAGTTTTGGTGGATTATATATATGTATATATTGTTCCTGCAGTTCCAAGATGTGAGATACACGGTTGCAGCAGCAGCAAGAGGAGCAGAAAAATGCATACTGCAAGGGGTGCGCGGTTCAGTCTGTCCAGGGGAAGTTCTTGCTCTAATGGGACCTTCTGGTGGTGGTAAAACTACTCTGCTAAACCTTCTTAGCGGACGGGCCAAAATCAATCAAGGCACCATTACTTACAATGATAATCCATATAACAAGTCTTTGAAGCAAAGGTAAACTAATCGCCATGTCAGAATCGATCAAGCACTTACCACTACACCAAAAACTACTAATTGTCAGGACTAGCAAAGGCCTAATACTTAATTAAGTATTGTTTTCTTAAATTCTTTCTTAGCTTAATTGGTTTGATAACCAACATATGGCCGGATGAACAGGATTGGGTTTGTGCTACAAGATGACATTGTGTTTCCCCACCTAACAGTGAAAGAAACATTAACTTATGCTGCTTTGTTACGCCTGCCGAAAACACTGTCCACAGAACAGAAAAAGGAAAGAGCTTTGAGTGTCATATGTGAGCTTGGCCTTGAAAGGTACTACACTACTACTTGAGACTATTTTTCTAGCTTGCCCAGTTTATTCTCAGTCTGCAGTTGTAGTATTCTTTAAAAATTCATCAGGCCTTAATGAGGCCTCAGTTTTGTTAAGGTTGTTTTAAATGGGGCACTATTAATTAATTTTGCTGTCACTTTCCCAAGAATGGTGTCAAGGCAAAGAAATTTATTAAGGACAATGATTTTCAGGTGCCAGAACACAATAATTGGAGGGGCACTTATCAGGGGAATTTCTGGAGGTGAAAGGAAACGAGTCTGCATTGGCAATGAAATTCTGCTAAACCCATCACTTCTGTTCTTGGATGAACCAACATCTGGTTTGGATTCAACCACGGCTCTACGAATTGTCCAGATGTTACATAATATTGCTAAGGTTGTTATTATATATCATCTTTCAAATTAAAGTTACATAACACTAGCTTGTTCATTGACTGATAAGAATTGTCCCAATTCAACTCAACTGTTTAATTTGTAAGGCTGGGAAGACAGTGGTGACCACCATACATCAACCATCGAGTCGATTGTTCATCACATTCGACAAGTTGATTCTGTTGGGAAATGGGTGCTCTCTGTATTCTGGAAAAGCCTCAGAAGCTATGCTGTATTTCTCATCAATTGGCTGCTCTCCCCTTATTGCCATGAACCCTGCAGAGTTTCTCATTGATCTTGCAAATGGGAATATCAAAGACAAGTCTTTTCCTTCAGACATCGACACCAAATCAGTGCCTGGAAACCAACATTCTGAGCCTTCCCCATCCGACGTCCACGAGGCAACATCAACAAACCTTCTTCTTCTCCTTCTTTGTTAACTGAGAGAAGAAAAAAAGTGTCATTTTCAGTGTTTAATTTTGTTTTGCAGTATCTTGTGGGGGCTTATGAGTCCAGAAGTGAGGACATGGAGAACTGGAGACTTTTGAACCCAATTGTGATTGAGGAGAATGTTGAGCAAGTGGGAGCAACATGGTGCGAGCAGTTCTCTGTTTTGCTGAGAAGAGGGTTTAAAGAGCGGCGCCATGAATACTTCAGCAGTCTTCGTATCACACAGGTCATAATAACAGCTTTGATTGCCGGACTACTATGGTGGCCCTCAGACAACGTTCAATCTCCCAATAAAGTTGCAGATCAGGCAAGTAATATAATGCCATTTTTTTGGAATCCACAGCCACTAAACTAAACAGTACATAATAATTAATGTTGGAAGTGCATGCAGGCAGGACTGTTGTTCTTCATCTCAGTATTCTGGGCATACTTTCCTCTTTTCACAGCCATATTTACATTCCCACAAGAAAGGGCAATGCTGGTAAAGGAGAGATCAGTGAACATGTACAAACTGAGTGCCTATCTGGTAGCCAGAAGCATCAGTGATATTCCTCTTGACCTTTTCTTGCCTGTTATATTCTTGACCATTGTCTATTTCATGGTTCGCTTGAAGATGACAGTCCCTGCGTTTTCTTTAACTCTGCTCACAGTTTTCCTCAGCATTATCGCAGCTCAGGTAAGATCCATAATTCTTAATTGTTTCCGGCCACTTGAGTCTAAGCAGATAATCAGAGTGTACTGACATTTTGAGCTTCCAAATGTCTCTCTCAAGGGCTTAGGATTGGCTATAGGCGCGGCTTTCATGGACGCCAAAAAGGCTACAACTTTTGCCTCAATTGTTACCATGACAAACATGTTGTGTGGGGGCTTCTTCATCCAAGTAATATATAATACAAAAAACTACACTTTTATCTCCTCCTCAATTGCTAAATAGTATTTCTTATACAATTTAGTCTCTTATTTGTCACATGTTAATTAATTAGCTAATAGCTTGAATAATAATAATAATAATAATGCAGGAAGTGAGGGCATCCACGGGTTGGCTTCGGTACATTTCTATTAACTATAATACACACAGGTTGCTGTTGAATATTCAATACAGTTGCTCAGAACCGATTTCTAGATCGGTTGTTTGTGACTCTTCTTTCATCAAGAATCAAAAACTTGGATCAGGTCAAACTGAAGTTGGATATTTATTGGCTATGATTATTAGTTACCGTATTTTAGCATATCTTCTCTTAAGAGGAATAAATTATAAATGTACAACTTTTTAATTTTCTATGTATATTGTCTTAATTGAATATTAGCAATAAATAGTTCTTCTTCTTCTTCCCAGCAATATAATAAAGCAGCGTGACCATTTAGTAAAAATCAAGAATCATTAAATGAGATCAAGTGTGAAAGCTTCTTGTGTGACATGCAAATAATGCATTTTTATGTTAATTATTAATACATCTCTACTTTTGATGTTCACTTTTATATAAATATATAAACATTTATATAGTAAGCTATGAAAAATTATAAAATTTTAACCATGTATGTAATAAATTTAAGCTATTTAACCACTTGATTACCTTCAAAAAAAAAAAAAAAAAAAACCACTTAATTTAGATCGTTCATATTAATTGATAAATAATATATGTTTTCATATGATTCGTTACACACATATGTATAAAATACTACAATGTAAAATTTAATTAAGCAATCGAAATACATTTTTACACAATAATTATACTCCTAAACACCATAAGATGCACCCTACGTATACACTCCGTGTGTGCAGTGTGTGTATCACACACTAGTTTAGTTTTCGTAAATATTTGACATTACAATAAACCGCAATATTTAATTTGAATTTCATATTTAAGGAAATCCAAACTTTAATATTGTTTTAAACTAAAATAATGATTTCCAATATTCGATTATTTTTTAAACAGCATTCAAAAAAATACATACATATCCTCTGATCTCCTGCAGTCCGGTCTCCAATTTCCAATATTTATGTTGCAATCCAATTGTACCACGACAAGATGAGTTACATATGATCATTTAATTAATTAAATATGATCATTATTATATAAAAAAAAAATTGTAAAGTTGGGATAAGACTTTATTGGGTTTATTGGACCATGCATTAGTTCTTCACGTTAATGTCGGCCCATCAAAGAAGTCATGAATGAATTCTAAGCACTTAGGTAACATTTGTACGTATGAGACCGTCTCACGGGTCTCAATTTGTGAGGTGGGTCAAATTTTTAATTAATGGATCAGATTTTTGATTTCATTAATCAAAGATTAGACCCGTCTCACGGATTGAGACCTATGAAACAATCTCACATAAGTTTTTGCCAAGCTTTTAAAGACCTCCTTTGATTTTTTACGAGGAAATATGCGTTGCTATTCAAATATATATATTTTAGAAGAAATTTGTCTTGTAATTCTAGTTGGCAAAGAACTACAAAGAGGTAAACTAGCTAGTCTAGCTTACTCATTGTTAACCGGTTCAACTAAAAAGGCTATAGATAAATCTGATCTCATTGAGTTGAACTTTGAATCTTGTGATTACGAAACCAATTGTTTGACCAACTTGATTATGGGTCGCTTCCTCTTAGAAACATATTGTATACCATTCAAGTGGGATAAATACTTATATCAAGTACCTGATATATATATATATATATATATATATATATATATATATATCAACATGAATATAAGTCATAAATCAAATAATATATACCTAATTTTTCTCTTTTTCTTTTTGTACAAATAAAATAAATTTATAAATAAATTATTATAAATCTTTAGTTGAGATTTTTTAAATCTCATATTAATATTTCTTCAATTTTTTTCGATATTCCAAAAGTGGAAAAATATAAAAACTGTAGCAAAAATAATACTCTAAAATTAAATAAAGAAGTGACCTAGTAATTACAAAATTAATTGCGGATCGGGAATAATTCTTATTTACTTTGTCATTTAAGCTTGCTATCTGTGGTAATTTACTAATTTATATTGGAATACTATATATTAACACCAACATATTCCAACGCCACGCATGCATTCAATATGATGGAACATACACCACATATATAATTGGATAATCGAGAATCATATAAATAGGCATTAGGCAACAAACACAACAAATTATCAAATAAGAGGTTGGGATACATGTGACTTTTAGATTTCATAAATATTAACAGTTTGACTTGATTAAAAAATTAATATGAGTATTTAATTAATTAACTTTTTGTAACAGCTTAGTGCTCTCAAACACTAAAAATTTAAAAAGCTGTTCAAAACAACTTTTTTGAAAAAGTCAGTTTGTATATAATAAGCTAACAACTAATTTACCAAATATTTTTCTACAATCAACTAGTTAAACTTACTAACTCAATCAGCTAACAACTATTTATCAAACACTCCCTTAGTATTGAAAATGATAATGATATGATGTTGAAAACTTGTAACAACCTTCTGATCTATTTATAGTTTGGGTGAGTTGGTTAGTTGTTCCAGTCAAAAACTATTTTTGCAATTGATGCTCACACTAGCCCTGCACAAGAAACGTGGAGCACCCTACCTGCACACACAACTAAAAGGTGCATAGGGTGTGCACGGGTCACCCTATGTGCCGCAAGGCAGTTGTGCAAGGTATAAGGCTCGATCCTACTTCCAATTCCTCTAACTTCCGACCTTAGATTGGAGTCCTTTCCACTTCTCTTACTCGATTTACACCTCAATTTAACCTGCGTATGAATTTCGTGTTTTTTCTATGTAAACCCCATGACAAACTTTAATTTGCATTTTGAATTCTTCCAAATCCATTCCTTACCTTCCCTTCATGTGCTCCTTGGGCCTGGACCCTAGCCAGGTTCCATCACAATCAAATGAAACAGTCCTAGATTCCAATCTAAAAATTAAATGAATATATATAATATTATTGCAATGTTTGAAGATTTTTCGTATATTGATATGATGGATGGTCTAAAAGGTAATTAATCTTGAAATTGAATGCAAGAATTAATGGCGTATATTGCACATAGGAGAGGAGGATGAGTGGTGTGCAGTGCATTTAATAAAAAGTGTTAAAAGTGGAGTGTGAAGTGAGGGCCAAATCCTGCAGCTTTGATATGTAGGAAGAAAACAGCAAAATGAGAGACGTGGAGGAAATCAATCCTCTCCTTCACATCCATCACGAAAATGACGTAAAACACCCACATGCTACCTTCACAATTCACAAACCTTTCTTTTCCTCGTTTCTATATACGTATTGGATCTTTAAAATATCAAAGATTTTTTTTTTTTCATTTCTTTTATAAATTTCAATTTAATTTTTATAGGCGGATATTACATTTTCATCCTAAATTAATTAAAATAATCACCACGATGTTTAATGGTAACTGGATGGGAAATTAAAATATATCACTTTCTAACTAGTAGACCTGGTTCAAATAATCACATCTCCTCCACTTGCCCTCCAAGAGGACCAAGAGACATATTTTAAAAATGGGGCACGGTGAAATTATTACATTTCGACACTTTGGATGTTTGATTTTTTTTTTAAAGGTAAAAATTTGTGTGAGACCGTCTCACGGGTTTTAATCCGTGAGATAGGTTGGGTCTTTGATTAATAAGATCAAAAATTTGACTCATTAATCAAAGATTTGACCAATTAATCAAAGATCCGTCTCATCTCATGGATTGAGACCTGTGAGATGCTCTCACCCAAATGTTACCTTTCTTTGAAATGGGTAGATCTAGTTGGTGGAGAACCAAAACTATTACAACTTTACGAAGTTGTTTGTTATGTTTTTTTTTTCACTTTTTTTTTTTTATGACAATGAAAACTTTTAGTTATTATTTGAATCTGTGCATTCCCTATCAAATATATATATTTGAATTTGTGCATTGAATAAACATTGTTCGTGCATAATATCTCGCAAGTTGTACACGAAAGATAATTATACTAAAAAGATTATGTACGATGAGTTTTTAACTAAAAAAGGTGTTATTAGCACATGTAATGAAGTACGAGAATTATATTTCACACACTATTTCACCCCTTTTGGGACACAATTTTACAAATTAAAGTTGTAGTTTTGCAACGTAACTTTGAATAGCGAAGGAGCACAACAATGAATCACAAATAGTTGACGCACCATATTCAATTCGATCAACTTTAATTTTCAATACCAACTCAAACATGGCAAATTATTGTGGTCCACATGGTTGTGTGGACCATAAATTCATTATACACTTTTTATATACTAAAAGTATATTATTTGTGTACTAAATGTTGGGTAATATGGTTGAAAAATTCCAAAATAATAATAATCATACGGAAAGATTAATATTATATGGAAAAACAGAAAAACTGGGAAGGAAAAGGTTGAGTGTTTGAGTATAAGTTTAGCACGAGTTCGAACACAAAGTTCTTTTCCTTAAAACCTTATTTGCTACCTCCCACAAGTGCTAGGAGCGTTGTAGCCTAGGTTTCCCAGGATAAAACGTGCTATAATTCCTTGTTTAAGCACCTAAACAAGGAACCCGGCAAACAAAGCAAAGTAGAGAACACTAGTTGGTAAAGAAGAGAGTAGAAGCAGAGTTTTGGGAAGCTGAAAGCTACTGGAATTCCTTTCGTTTTCGTACTGTGTAAAAAGCTACTGCTCTACCTCTCTTTATATAGGGATGTTGGAAGGGATAGCATTCAACATGGCCTTTAATTGGTATTAAACCAATTGTATAACACCTGTAACGGTCACCCACTAAGTAGGATTAAACTCAGAATTTAAAATTGGAATTAAAACAGTATTAATTCCGTAACATATGAGTTTATTAATTCCGTAACAGATGAGTTTAATCTGTACAACAGGCTGAACTTTCGGGTTTCAGACCGTTGGGGTGCAGGTTCACACGAGAGCACACGGACCAGACAACACGAGAGTACATCTCTCGTGCGCACTGTGGTGCAACCCGAGAGTGCACCACTCTCGTGGTCACAGATGCACGAGAGTTGTGCTCTCGGTGCACCACAACCTCTCTTGCTCCTCTGTAGCACGAGAGTAGGTGCTTTCGGTTCGGTTCCGGCCGAACCAAGTGACTATACCAGTTGGAACCTCTCTTGCTCCTCTGTAGCACGAGAGTAGGTGCTTTCGGTTCAGTTCCGATGATACCGAAGTTTGGCATAACTTAGCCCGTAAGGCCAGCCAATTTCCGGACGACATTCGTGCCCGCGAGCTCGGGCTTGATTTCAAGCCTTTTCGATCTCCTCTAGTTGGATTTTGATTTGCCATTTTAAGTTAATTTTTCCAACACTAAATATACATTATTTGATGATATATAA